AGCTAGATCCACCATGGAATCTGAGTTTATTGCGCTAGACAAAGCCGCAGAGGAAGCAGAATGGCTTCGAAATTTTTTGGAAGATATCCCTATGTGGGAGAAACCAGTGCCAGCATTACGTGTACACTGTGATAGCCAATCAGCTATTGCTCGGGCACTGAATAATCTTTACAATGGTAAGTCTCGTCACATTAGACGACGACATAAAACCATTAGACATTTGATCTCAAGTGGTGTAATCACGATAGATTATATCAAATCAGCGGACAACCTAGCGGATCCATTTACTAAAGGCTTGTCAAGAGATCAAGTTGTAAAATCATCAAAAGGAATGGGTTTAAAGCCTATGAATTAAAGATGAAGTTTGATGGAAACCCCACCTATGTGACTGGAGATCCCAAGATCTAGGTTCAAAGGGAAAACTAAATCAAATGGATTCTAAAAAGAGCACTGTGAGACTTGTTCTCTACTCAGTTCCTAGGATGATAAACAGTGCTATATACATGTACGTGATAAGGCTAAGCGTTGGCTTTTAATGATTCCATAACTTTGTAAAGAGTGAAGTATAACATGATACTTCTGGATAAGTTATTGGCAGATCACCTAGTGAGTGAGAAATGGGGCCGTTTCTAGGAGAATAAAAGTAAGGCTATATTCTCTAAGTTCACTCATGAATAACCAGGCATGTTCAAGGCCAAAATGAACACAATAGAGAACTTAGTTCTACAAGAAATGAAGCTGTATTATAGCTGTTGTCTTGGTTTACATCAAAATCCGGGTGGTTCAAGACATCATGTTCACCTCCTGGCCAAGTAAACCCGGCAGATATTAAAAATGAGTGGTTCAAAGCTGAAAAATGCTACTTACTCAAACACAGTGAATTTTCGTTTAAACTCTCGAAAAGTCCGTCTGTCTAAGTCTTAGGTGTAAGTATAGTCAGTCGAGTCAAGTAGAATCAATGGAGTCGTCATATGTTTTAGAGTCATTTCTATTCATGTGGGGGATTGTTGGAACTCGTTTTTGACATAATGGTTTAAGACCATTACCGGTGAGTTTCCGGCGAAGACGTTCGTTGGAATAACAGGAAGTTAGGCTAGTCAAAATCAGAGTTGTTGTGAATGAGAAATGGAGGTCCATATTGGGTTGCTTGTTAAGCTTAAAACATTATATTTATAAAATATCCCATTTGGAAATTAGAGGTGAAATTCCTTTTATATATAAAGTGGAGAATTCTAAATATACAGATTGGTATATTTAGAAAATGGATGATAAAATCGGACTTACATTTCGAGTCTCAAAATTTGTCTAATGGAACAATAAATCAAAATTATTTTTTTAGAATAAAGTATCTTTTTGTTGAATTCTATTGTTCACAAAGTTAATAAAAATATCATCTATAATTAGTGTTGTCAACGTGAATGAAAGGAGCATTAAGTATAAATTCAATTCTGAATTTGTAACATAAAATGTTAACTCACGTCAACCTAATTATTATGAGAATATATATTCTCAATCTCCCTTTATTACTTTTACGTTGCATATGTTTAAAGTATAGCTGTTGGTAACGTGAGTCAAGAGGTGTTTAAAGTGCAAAATCAATTTGATTTGTGTAACTTAAATCAAAAGGATGATTACACGCTCCATATGCAATCTCCATTTATTGTTACTACATTAATGTTGGTCGAGAAAATTGACTATATAAACAAGTCATTTCTTCTCATTTGATATATCGAACAACACACAACAAAATATCTCTCTCACTCTAAAAGAGTTCTTGTTCTAGCAATCTTCTGTTCTAAGTAAGTCTCGAGAGTTTAAAATAGATTTTTAAGTTCATAGATTCCGTTTTTTCGAGTGCTGCGAAACGGTCTATCATCGGTTGTATCCTGGGACTCTAAATCGTACAGAACCGTCTCACTACGGGCGATTTTTTGAGTTAAGGAAAGAGAATCAATTTCTCGACTCCGATTTTTATCTATATTTTAATCGTGTTTTTAGTCTCGTTTCTACTATTTCTTTTACATCATTATCGTCTTAAAGTTATTTATTCATCGCAATTATTAATTCGGTTTTGCGGTTCTTATAGATGTTAGAAGGACTACTAGTACTCGGATGGTTTGTGTATGATTTGCATTGTTATTGAATAAATTTGGGAGATTCTTATCTCCCAACACTTCGACCAAAAAAAAAAAATTGTCTTATCTAACAAAAGACCTTCACTTTTAAGTAGTAAGCTAGATTAAAGAAATCCGATTAATTCAGAAATAATAATCTATATTTACAAAAAAAAATCTAGCTTTATGTTTTTAATCGTTTCAGTGACTTTGATATTACATTTTTGTATGTGTGAAAGGGATGGTGGTTTATTAAAAATACATAAGGTTTATAGTCTTTGTGAATCCTTAAAATGTGAAAACCTCGTCTTCTTAGGGGTACCCGAAACTCCTAAGAGTGGGAGGCGTACCCACGGAAACAAGAGATGTTGAAACCGTCTTCCTTCATAGAACATTGGATGAGAATATATATATATATATATGGTATAATATATATGGTATAACCAAAGGTTTGTACCATGTATCATGTATGAATTGAAGGAGATATCGTATGTTTTCTAAAAAAGTTTCTTTATGGTCTTAACTAATCACTTAAGAGATTCTTTATGAAGAGATTCTTCCTCTGTTCGGTCGTCTCTGCATCAGATGGAAGATAACAATTCTAATAAGGTAATTAAAAATTGGCTTTTTCTACCACTGATGATTACTGGGTTTGATTTCGATATCGTTGTTCTGTGATTCAATCTTGTTGTGATGTAAAAGTTTAGATTTTAGGTTTTTGATTTGAGCTTTGAACTTGTTGGCTGATGTGGGATTGGTGCAGGCGATGTGTTACCCCGTTGTGTAGTGGATGCAATTCTGGGAGCTTTAGGGATTCCTGATATAGGTCAGATTTTCCCTGATTCTGATCCTAAATGGAAAGGAACTGCTTCATCTGTCTTCATCAAAGAAGCTGTAAGCTTTCTTAGCTTAACCTTAATGTTCAATTCAATCTTGTGTGAAATCGTTGCTTACCTACCAGCTTACAGTACAGCTCTCTCTTGAAGTCTGATTTTTTCTGCGGTATTTTGTAGAATGGTTTAGAGTTTTCAAAGCTAAATCCGTAGGTTGATGGAATCTACTCAGTTTTTAAGTTGTTGGCTAGTATCTAGGTTCTGCAGTAATACTTTTGAGGAGAATACTTCATCCCTATAAAGTAGAGGAGGAGATGTAGAGATCAAATCGGTTTTTGAACCTTTTTTCAGTGTTTTCCTCAGGAAGAGAACATGTGATCCATGACTCAACTATTTTTATCACTCAATGAGGTTATGTATAATCTTGCAAAGTCTTTGCATAATTCAATTTTATCAGTTAAATAAGGTTTCCTGAATCTTGGGTTGATAAATAATAGAACAAGTCTCTCGTATTGTTTACATTTCCTCAGAGGCAGCAACATATATAATTGACGTTTTTAAGTATAGACTCAAGGTTGAAACTTTAGAGTCTCTTGCAATATGTTTGTTAAGTTCAAAACCATGATTGACTCTGAATGTTGATTGCACGGAAGCTAATGTGAATAAAAGCTATAAACTTGAAATGACGATCACTTGTAATGAGGTTTCGTATAGTTATAACAGACCAAATCTCTGGTTCTTGTCTATATGAAAAATTGATTTAATGAACTTGACGCAAAGTTTTTTTGTTTGTCTTAATGTTTCAGGTGAGACTCTTGGACGAGGCAGGGTACGAGATAGGAAACCTAGATGCGACATTGATTCTACAGAGACCAGATAAGTCCACACAAAGAGACAATTCGAACCAACCTGTCGCAGCTTCTCGGAGCAGACCCTTCTGTAGTGAACCTTAAAGCCAAAACCACGAAAAAGTTGATAGCCTCGGAGAAAACAGAAGCATCGCAGCTCACACTGTTGTTCTCCTCATGAAGAATAATATTTTTTTTATTTTTCAGAATCTCACTTGAAATTTTACCATTGGAGCTATGCAATTTTAATTATTATTAAAGAAGTTCTTAACTTAAATTTTTTAAAAATTTATCATTAAAATAATGTTCAGAGCCCATTAGAAGTTCTTTGCATTGGAGATGGTCTAAGAGAGTGGAATAAGAAGTTGGACAATTTTATGAATAGTCAATGGTTTTTAAAGTACGTCTATGATCCTTGCGTGTACATGAGAGGATCAATTATGTTTGAGAAACTTTACTTGCTGCTATATGGTGATAACATGTCATTTACAATATATTATAAGGCTGTCACATGAGAGATACACATGTTGGTGAACATTTAAGACTAAAAGGCCAGATTCAAGAAGAACATATCATGGAGTCGACTTATCTAACTTATCGTATAACTGTATAAGGTTAGTGAAATGATTTATGAGAAGTCATCAAATAATTCATTCCTTGGTCAACAATTATATGGGTTATAAGGTTCAAGATCTAAGGACGTACCCAGTAAAGATCGAGGAACTTGTAAATAAGTTGATAAGAGGATTCTTGAGTTTGGATCGCGCAGAAGAAGTCGAATAGTTGGTTTTAAATCCATGCAGAACGGTTTGGTATTGCATTTTGTTTCAGTTCTAATTCTAAATAAACAATAATATACGTTTTCCATACAATTAATATTGGGCATTTGGTCTAGTGGTATGATTCTCGCTTAGGGTGCGAGAGGTCCCGAGTTCAATTCTCGGAATGCCCCTTACTAATTTATGTTTCTAATTATTTTTGCATTTCTTTGTCACAACTCACAAAGTTATCACATTTCTCTCAGGCATATCATAGAGCAACAAACGAGCCTCCCCACTAAACACCAACATTTTTTCTTCTTTATCTTTGATCAACGGGCTTGATGGATTCAGAGCGCAATAACTTTCCATGAATATCACACGAAACCAAGCTCATTCTTTCAAAAAGAGCAACAAAACATTCAGCTCGAGAAAAGGTAAACTCCTATGCCGCGGATTCTTCATGCTCCTACTGGTAAAGTTGATTTTTTTAATGAGATTGGACATAAATTTTTATCTGGGCACATCTACTGCATACAACACCTGAAACCGATGATGGTATAGTGGTTTATTCTACAAGTTTACACGTTCTTTTGTTTTCTTGTTCTGATTCTATGTTTTGTGATACAGAGGGAGCAAATCTTGGATGCGATGATGCGGTGTGGAGTCTCAGAGCAGCTGGTTTGGGTGGAGTGGTTGACGTTAGGTCGATGGTCACGCGGTAGAAGAATGAGAGACGAGATTGTTTCGCGTCAGGTGTCTGTAGCTGATGTTGTGACAGGGGAAGAAGAAATGGTTCTACGAGTGCTTCAACGAGGAGTTGTTCACGAAGTTCTAAGGGTTTGTATCTCAACCGTTGATCTTGCTTGCACACCTTGCACCAGTAGCACCATCAGAAACTACTGAAACCCGGTTTTGGATTTGCACGTTGTATAACTATAATCACATTTGCACAAAACTTTTGTTTGTTACACAAACTGAATGTAAATTATGATTGAAAACTTTTAAAGTTTATGTAAATAATAAACGGATTTGTCTGATTACATTCCGGTAAGTTTATGTACATGTACAGTCTCTGAATGAATCGAATTGGCAACTGAACCGAAAATTGGTCAATTCGGTTTATACATAAAAACCATTCAGCCAATTAAAAATTACTTAGGTTGAGAATGAGAACACCTAACCCGATCGGTTTCTTCCACCCATATAATTTGTGCTGCTTGTCTTCTTCTTCCACCCACACTCTTAGATGTATCTGCTTTATATTTTAGCATCTTTACAATCTATTGTAATGAGCAAGGAAAATGCTTAATTCTCTGGTTTTATTATATGGGGCAGTATTAAATTAACGAAACGAAATGTTGCGAAAAAGGACAACGTGCATTTTGTTAATCAAATCATCAATCAAATTAATATCCTCTATATATTAAAAAAGAAGCATTTTTAAAGAATAACCTTAATTTTGTAAAATATTACAGTGGTGTCATTTTGCTGAAGTGTCATTACCAGAATCATTTTCAGTATATTACTAGATTAACTACATGTTATGCCACTCACATTAATTTGGTTATACATTAGTTTATATCAATTATATTGTTGATGATTCATCAAGATATTCTCTTTTTCTATTTCTTATCAAAAATATATCATACTAATTGTTTCTTTAAATACTATATTTTATCTCTTATTTTTGTAGAAAAATATATCATCACATCATTCATATAGTAATATATATATTATGTAATAATTCGAATTTTATAAAACAAATATAAATTACTCAAATGATTAATAGATAAAAGTATGTTTTAAAAAACTAAAATTGAAAATAAGGATGTGTAGATAGATGATTCATAAATCAATATAAAAATACATAAATGATAAAAAAAATATAGGAAGCTTAATCTAATAGATATTATTATTATTATTATTTTTGGTTTCATATGATTTTAGAACCATATAAATTAACCAAGTAATATAAATATTTAAACTTTATAATAAGTGCAAAATATTAATATATAGTTGAACTATAAAAAATAGTTGAATATGTTAATAGAATATATAAATATTTTATTTGATTAAAAAGTTAAATATCATAAATTTTTAACTTATACAACAAAATAACTTGGTAAAAAATTAAAATATTTTTGTAAAGATATTATAATTCTTTTACTCCGCACAGGGTGCGGATTATTACCTAGTATCTTTATACTTATAAAACACAAGTCAGATGGCAATTGTCCATCTGACATGTGTCATTTTCATTTTTTTTCCTTTTTTAAATTTGAAATGTCCATCAATTTTTACAAAATATCAGCCTATATTTGTTCTTTCTCTTTCTTTTACGTGGTTATTTGTTAGATTTATTATTAATATTAATTTCTTTATTTTTTCCTTTCTCTTAAGCGTCATCTTCTTTCTTTTTTCTTTGTTGTAAATGATGCTCAGCACCCAAAATCAAAACCTATCAAATACAAAGAAGAAATAGTTTTCAAATTGGCATGGATTTTTTAAATTGTGAAAGTGGTAGAAGAGAATTTAGCAAACCCAATTACGAAACTGAGACAAGCAGTTGATGCCATGATTGTCGAGATGCACGCTGATCTCGCATCAAAAGATGGAAGCAAACTTAAGATGCTTATTTGTGATGTTGATAATCTATATAATTCTTTTATTCTTTTATTCTGATTGAGAATTGATTTTAAAAGTAAAATTGGTGATTTTCTAGATTTTGATTTATTTGATTTGATCAAGATAATTTTTTTGGTCAGATTCGTTAAAATGTTTTTAACTAAAATAAATAAAAAACATGTTTTATGCATATATGTCCACGATCTCCATTATCCAATTCAACTTCCCAATTTCTCTAATATAAGAGAATTGTTACGCTATATACTCTCTTAACGTGAAGCAAAGAAAACAACAGTTACGCGAGGTGATCTTTTACTTTTCTATTTCTAACATTTTATCCTCAATTTCTCAAACTCCATAGATCTGTAATTTAAGTTTTTTCTCTGCAATTTTGTTTCAGGTACTATAAAAAGCAATCGCTTAGTGAGATTATGGGTTTGTCTCGCCTCTTCTTCTTCTCTATACAGCTCTTGATTCTCACATCATCAATTTTGCTTGTTCTTTGAGATTTATTGTTGTGTTTGTTTGTAGTTCATTTTCATTAGATTTTTGCCATGTTTCTTTTTCTTTCAAATTGATAATGTTTCTTTTGAAGCAACTAACAACAATTTGTTAAATGGTTCAACAGAACATTTGGAGACTCCACAGAAAAAAGCGACCAGCAAAATCATTGTCACCAACTGAAGAATTGAAGATTCTGTTTCACAACTTTCATCAAAGAAACTTACACCAGTGGTTGCTTCTTTAACTGCAGAAGCTGGACAACTTTCAACCGGTGCCAAAATCGAATGTAGAAAGAAAAGGAGTAAAATTGGATTAGTCATTTGTTGTGGTTATTTTTGTATTTTAAGCAAGTATCATTTAATTTATATATATTGTCATGTTTTCTTAGGACTAGCTGCTTTTTGTTTATCAACATTAGCATTCAACTTTGATATTATTATTATTAGCTAATTATTATTGTATTTTCTTTAAAAATTTATGTATCAAATGCTATTTATTAATTTTATATTTTCTAAGATCAAGTATCTTTGTTATTTTATTTAAATCTTTAATAGTTTTTTGCTTTCTTAGATCACTATATGTTTTCTTTCTTACTATTCAGCAAATTCCTAATTATATTTTTATATTATTATTTATTTATTAAATATCAATGCCCGTGCTTGCACGGACCAAAATACTAGCCAATATTTGTACATAGAGTAATTTCTCAATACATCAGTATTTTAAAAGATAAAGAAATTACTTAATTTCTTATCTTTATATTTATTGTATTCAGCTTTAGTAATTATATAAATTAAGAAAATTATTCAGATTCATCATCTTTCTCTTCGTATTCCATATCCTCATAGTATAGTTTTTCACCTGTTGCTCTCGTGAGTTTTTTCACCAACTTTTTCAGATTAAAATTTCCAATGACCCGAATCTTTGTTCTCTCTTCATCAGCGAAGTACCAGTGTGCAACCCCTAATAATCATATATACACCATGCAAAAAAAAAAAATACAACAGTCATCAGTTCTGTTTATATTTAAAATTTAAACTATGAATAAAATATGTTGATAAAAGAAAAAAAATATGAACTTAAATATTATTCTACCATAGAATTTGTTAATAACGACACTCATAACTGTATCGCATTCGTAGCCATTCGGTATCTTAAATTCGACATCATGATGCTCATATTCACTTGTACTAGATAAAAGTAAATAAAAGTGAGTCATAAACACAATCCTTTTAAATATTTACAAAATATAGATTACGCTTACCTGTTGTAAGGTCTGAAGCACCAACTCATCTTCTTAAATTTGTAATCTTTTTAACAAGTGAAAAAACAAATATTCTCAAGGTTAAATATTTTGAGAAGCCTAAAATATTATCTATTGATATACACATATTAAGCACACAGAGCAAAACTAAAACATATATACACACATAAAGAAAGGCAGATATTTTACCTAAAAAGGTATTCATAATATAATCAATACAATATATGTATGGTTCATATATATTATATGCTATATACACATTTGTTTTGCAAAACATATTTATCCTTTTATTTTTTTTTAATTACATCAGATTTTCAATATATGTGATAAGAAAAAACAAATATTCAATATCTTTTTTTTATTATATATTCAATATCTTTTGAAAGTAAACCTCACATTTTCCCCAATTCCCTTTTCTCGTTTTATAAATTTTATCTTTCTCATATTAAAATTTATTAGGTTTTCTGATTTGCTTTCTTAACTTAAGAATATTATTAAATTTATTTGATAATCTATACATACTAAAGAAAATGTAAAAGAGAGAAGATTTAATATAAATAAATGTAATAAAAGGTATATTTCACAATATAACCAAATCTCCTTTATATAAAAGGGATAGATTTACTGTTCTCTAAGGGGTGCCACATAGGCAAAAATAATCAACCAATAAGAATATAACAAATTGCCACATCGTTAAATTATAAAAAAAAATAATCAATAAGAATAAGATAATATACCACATCAGCAAAAATAATTAACCAATGGTAGATTTCAAAACTATTATGTCATCTTCTCCAACCAATAATTTAAAACCATTTTATTAAATAATTTATTAATCAAAATTTCTTCAAATTTTACCTAAAATAAGCTTTTATAATTCTTAAATTCTCAATAAAAAAATAAAGCTAAAAAAAACTGAAAACGAATTACACTAAAACTCAATTATAAAGCTTAAACAAAAGCTTATTTTATGGAGTCATCGTTTTCTCGGTTTCCAATCATCTCGCCTCTGACTCACCAGAAACAGAATCAACAGTCACTAAACACAAATTTTACTTATTAATTAATGACAACCAAACTGGTGATAAACAATAAAACTTAAATAAGTGGAGCATAAACATTTGGAAATCCAAAAGACATAGCAATGAGGATGTTAGAAAAAAAAGACATAGCGATGAGCCACATATGGTATAAATAATACACAACTCTATCACAAATGAAGTCTAATGTATCTCATGCTTGAGATTGTTGTAAACAACATAAAAATACAATATCACAACTGTTTTGCATTTATTTTTTATAATGTGAATCAAGTAGAATGAGTCTGAATCATAGTATTGTTGAAACTGGAGAACGTCTTTCTCGCCAAAAGTAAAACTTAAGGAGCGACTCAGTTTTCTTTCGTCTAGAGAAAATTAATTTATACAATTGTAACTTTTTGACTTATAACAGATTTCAAGTTTCTAAAGCTGATATAGAGTTCCATATTGTTCATTGTAATCAGATATTGTAGAAAAACTGAAGTAAAAACATAACAAAAGAACCGGTGATTAAAGACAGTTACTTACCGTTTCTTTATTTTTATTTGCAAAATTTCACAGTTACTTACCTTTTCTTTATTTTTATTTGCAAAATTTCATGAAACATAAGACTGAAAATATTTTTTTTTCAAATAACATATAACGATAAATTCCACACTCTTCACCAATATTGGCAAATGATTGAGCTAGCTAAACTATCAAACAAATATTATATCAATCAATAAAGAACTCATATAATAAAAAAGTTTATTATTAATTGCCATTTGTTTTCTTCAGTGAATATATGAACTAATTATAAAATATATATGTACATACTGAATCTTAAAAAATTGATAAGTAGAGAAATGCATACTATATGAAAATTAAAAACAAAATCTTAATACACAATATGAAACAAAAATGGAGTAAGGATTGAGTTTTTCTTTTTAGAAGCATCAAGCGAAAGGGAAGCTTATGCAAAATATTTTTGAAAGTATAAAAAAATACTCATGGTGTTCACTAAAGAAATAGCATTATAACATAAGATGTCCAAATTTAGACAATATATTTCTAATATAATATATAGTTCATGTGGATACTATTTATATAAACAAAAAATATAACAAAATTACAAATCAAATTATTATACAAAAATGTCAAACTTTACCCTTCATATTTTTAAAAACATGCATTAACTCTTAAAAAAAAGTTTAAGTAAGCCAAAAGATATAATAATCTACTTTCAAATTATTATACAAAAATTTCGATCATCTTTTCACATATATATATACATCTTTCTGATACTTACTTCGCTCGATTATATCTAAGAATCACATGCAAATATAATACTCTATAATTTATCACAATATTAAACACAAAATTAATTGACAACCTTTTATAAAACTACAATATAACTATACAATTCATGCGTAGCGTGGGCAAAAAACTAGTCACTACAAAATGGGTCAATATTGTGCAAATGGAGCAATAGAACAGGGTCCAAAATTTTGAAGGGCCCACTAATAAATTATACATAGATAATTTTATGGATATCAAAATACCTTAAAACTTTTATTTACTGTTAACAAAATAAGAAGCAAATACTGTATTTGTTGACAAAAAAAAAGAGAAGAAGTAAATGTTAATACAGTAGAAACTCTATAGATTAATACTCGATAAATTAATAAACTCGATAAATTAATAATTTTGCTCGGTTCTGAGTTGAGCCGGTTCAAAATTTAATACAAATCGATAAATTAATAAGATAATAATTTTTTTTTGAAATTTATATAAAATATAGTCCTATTAGTATCATAAATTAATAAATATTATATAAAATAATTTTATATAAATATATAATTATGATAATCTATTAAAATATGAGTATACTGTTGTTATCATATTAAAATTGAAACACTTTTATCATTTATTTCTAATTTTATAATGAAAATATTGAAAATATTGAAAATTTTAATTAATTTTTTTAGTTTTTTTAATGAATTATTAATAAACAATTTATTTAATCTAAAAACCGATAAATTAGTAACTCTATAAATTAATAAAATATCAAAGTCCCTACATTATTAATTTATAGAATTTTTGCTGTATGATTTACAAAATATTTTCTGATTTTGTTTCATAAATAAAATCTTAACTATTATTTGAGAAGCATGTTTAATGAAAAAAACTGATGTGTCACCACCTTAGCAAAAGTTAGTGCAAAACAAATTTCCTAAAATAAATGAAATGTTTTGATTGCTTAGTTTAAAACTAACTAAATCTTATTTTTAAATAAGAAAAGTTTATATCGTATATGAATGAACTCTCATTATATAGTAAGAATTTAAAATTATAAATGAAAAAAATAAACAGATAGAAAAATAAATTATAAGTGTCGTGTTAGCTAACTTTTTTATTATTATAATACTGTATATATGAATAAAAAAGTAGAAGTAAAAGTAAAAATGAATCTTTACGACTTTTGTTTTATGTAAAACTTTTAGACTATATTTTTTGTTTAAAACATCTTCAACCCACCTTTATTTTAAATTTTTGAATTTAGGGGAAAAAGAAAGGTTTTCATTTTTTCCTCCAATTATAAAGGAAAAAATAACATTCTGTTTTTCCTGTAAAATAGAAATATGTTGGAGAGAAGTTCACTTATATTTTAAAGAAAAAAAAATAGAAAAATACATTGGAGATGATGTTAAAAAGTACGAGTCAAAGAAGACTAAAAAATAAATAAGAATAATTTTGATCGATTTTAAGTTTTTATTTGAAATATTGAAAAATATTATCTCACACATATTAACTCTTTAATGCATATATTTTTTTCTAACATATTAAAACATTATTTCATTAAACAAATTTTTGTATTTGTTGTGATCCATTAAATTTTACATTAACAAATATATTAGAGTTAGAAAAAAATCAGCTCTTAATTTTAATAACAATAAAATATTAAATATATTATTTTACACCTTAAATCATACACAGATATGTTTAGATCCGATTGTTTTAAACGATTCGGTAACAGAGAGTTTGTGAAACCGAGCGATTGTGGATTATAAAAAAATTGACAAAGAGATGAACGGAGAGCTACCTGAAATTTTATAAAATATGATTTCACAAATTTTATAATAATTTTTTTTATTTTATTGAGAAACCATATATCATCAAACGCTGAAAAATAAGAAACTTTGTTAAATACAAAACGATAGAAATTATTTTCGTGATTGTTGTTAAACGCTGATAACTATATCGTCTAAAAACATAACGTTTGCGAAAAATACCAGAAAAAACTTACCAAGACCTAAATGTTACAATTCACTTATTTCTAACTCATACATACATGCATAAATATACTTATTATTGTTTGTTTAATGAAATCAACCATACATTATAAAATTATATATTACAAAATATATGCTTTGTTATTTTCTTTTAACACATAAAAGATATACTTCGATTTTCTTACAAATATGCATGTAAATATAAATATTAATTGTGCAAAAGTCAAACTCGAATGCAAACTTGTCGTGCATACATTTTATTAACTTCGATTACACTCTAATTTTAATTTTAGTTGTTAGACAATTTATATATTTTAAAAAAAAATATATATGTCCTAAGAGCGGTGAGGTGGTTGGTACACACGAATGTGCGGATCAACAATCTACCCGCTCTTACGATAAATAAATATGGTTTAATTAGCAATATGTCAAAGAAAAATATATACTTAAAATATATATATTTATATATATATATATATTGGTAAGATTATATTATGTAGAAAGAAAAGAAAGTATTATATAAATAATATTCAAAACATATTATAAGACTTTAATTATTATTATAATATACGTTTTACATTTACAATTATATATTACTGTAAACGCTAGGAAATATAAAAAGTTATCAAAAGACACAAAACAATGAAACATTTGTGTGATTGTTGTTGAACACTAAAATTGTATATGTATAAAAACATAACATTTACATAATGTATAAAAAATAAAAAAATACTTAAATATTAGAACTAATTATGTCTATAAAAAAATTTTACTTGCACATACATGGACCAAAAATAAAAATTAAATAAATTATTATATATTTTAATATTTTCCTGTTTATTTAGTTACCATATTTACATTTTTTATCCAAAGAAATATTTTAAAATTTTGGTTGATATTTTTTATCTTTATTAATATTTTCTATTGAAATATATAATATTTTATTTAGTTTTTCGTTGTTTTTAATATCAAATGTTTATTATTTTATTATTTATACATAATTAATCATATACAAATAAAACATTTTTAATACTATATTAATCATAATTGAGCTTATAAAATATTTTATAGCCTGCACACGGTGCAGACCGATCACCTAGTTAAAGAGTAATCAGTGTTGATATTAGTTATAAGCTTAGAAAGTAGATGTTAGAACCTTTAATATTTTATATTAATTTGAGAATATTACGTTTTAACTTGATTCGATTTTGGGATTTTATATTAATTAGCATTATTGTAATAAGTATTTAGAGAAACAAACATTTACTTAAAACTATTGCAGGCAAACACTCTTCTAAAAAAAGAAAACCAATTCTTAATCTTCAGTTTGAGCCATTTGAAGCATAGTTTCAAGATTATCTCAAATTCTTTATGTCATTGCGATCGAAAATAATATTTTGGAGAAGATCAAATATGATGATATTCAGGGCATGACTCGTTCAATCGTTACCATCTGTAAATGCAGCGTTTGTAGGTGATAGCGGTTAGTAGTGTTTGACAACAATCACAGAAAACCTTTTTAAATGCTTTCAACCGTTTGTACCATTTTTTTCCTTCAAAACCAAAATCTTCTTCTTACTAGCGTTTGTGGTTGCGGACGGTGGCGGTTGGACAATTAAAAAATATAAAATTAAAAAAATACAAAAATTATTTAAAATCAAAATATATAATTTTATAGTTACAAAATATATAGATAAATTTGATATTTTTTGAAGTAATATTAGTTAAATATTTTATAGTTTAAAATTGATATTCATTGACTATTAATCATAATTTTATATTAATAAGATTTTTTAATTTAGATAAATTATCTTTTTACCATCAATAATTATATATATCTAATAACTAAAATTATTTCAATATTAAAAAATTATAATTTTATCTAAGCTAAAAAATAAGAAATAAACCTTAGTATTATGCATATAATATTCTTATAATTTTTAGTAATTATTATATCGAATTTATATTATTTTTGTTTTTAATAATAATATATTATGTTACTTTTAATTATATAATATATTTATATTATTATTTTATTATATAATCGTTTTTGCAGGTCAAAAATATACCGCATATACACCCGTTTTTAATTACTATATCAGTTATACAAACCGCTGGTTGTTAATTGCAACCACCTTCTTTCGTAAACTCCTGGATCTGTAACCGCAACCGCTGCGTTTAAATTAGTCAGACCTTCAACTGTTTCAAAAAAATCTAAAACAATAGTATTGTTTAAACAGAAAATTTTATATTACATTGGTGTATTTATTTTAAGTATTTATTTTAAATATTATAAAAAGATCTAAAATTGAAAATTAAATTATAAAATATTTAAATTAAAGACCTATTTTTATATTCGATCAAGGTCCGTATAAAATTTGAGACGTCCTGGATTAGTAGGTTTTAAATCCATGCAGAACGGTTTGGTATTGCGTAATAATGTTTTTTTGTTTTAATTCTGAATTTAAATAAACAATAATATACGTATCCGGTTCTGTCAACATCGGGCATTTGGTCTAGTGGTATGATTCTCGCTTAGGGTGCGAGAGGTCCCGAGTTCAATTCTCGGAATGCCCCCGCAATAATATATATATTTTTTTATTTTTGCATTTCTTTGTCACAACTCACAAAGGTATCACATTTCTCTCAGGCATATCATCGAGCAACAAACGAGCGTCATTATACACCAACAATTTTCCTTCTTTATATTTGATCAACGAGCTTGATGGATTCGGAGCGCAATAACTTTCCATGAATATCACACAAAACCAAGCTCATTCTTTCAAAAAAAGCAACAAAATATATTCAGTTAGAAAAAAAAGGTAAACTCCTATGCCGCGGATTCTTCATGATCCTACTGAAAGAAGATGTTTTTTTTTAATGAGATTGGACATAATTTCTATCTGGGCACAAGCCATTTTCGAAGTTCATGTGCTAGAGGTAATGAAACCACCGAAAAATTGACATTTGTTTGTTGTCTTTTTGGTTAATTTTGTCTCTTTTCGTTGTTTGGGTCAACATCAAGAAAGGGTTTTTTTTATGTTGCGTGTCATACTCATCGTTATCATCTCCTTCACATCGTAAATAGTCATCTTGTAACGTGTACTTCTTTAGAAACACAATTGTCGCCAACAGACATCAAAGAAATTTCAAAATTAGAGTAAAGAAAAATTTATGAATTCGATTCAATTTTCTTGTAGCTCTCTCCCACACGACATAATTTTGAAGATCGGCTCTTCTCTTCAGGTAAAATTTGTGTTTTTTTTGCTAAATTGCGTTTTCTTGTTCCCCTGTTAGATTTTGCTGATTCTTGATAAAATTGTCTTCTTTGATTGGATAGGTGACTGATCTTTGCGCACTCAGTACCTGTTCTAGGTTCTGGAGAGAGCTATGTGGTTCTGATATCTTATGGGAACCTCTGTTTAAAGAAAGATGGCCCTTATTGGTCACATTTGATGGAGACAACACTCAGCTTCCTGAATCCCAAACCGCACAAACAGATGATAATTTGCAGGTAATAACTAAATTAAAACATTCCAATAGATTCTTGTTTCGAGTTGTTTTAGATTTTGGCCATTTTTGAAGTCTGATTGTGAGTTCGTTTGTTGTTAAAAGTGAATTCTTTTGTATGATTGTTGATTGTGACTGGGATAAATTGGAGTTTGTTATAACCTCATGGACCGAGTTATGCTGCAAGTGCAGTAATTAGATGGATGGTGTTTTGACTGAAATGGTAACGATACTTTACAATTTGTTCAGCCTTGGGGATTCAAGTTACTGAGACATATGAAGGTGATTTGATATATAGAACCAGTTATGTGTTCTTGGGAATTTGTATTGGATACCTTTATGATATATAACAAGAGCTTGAGAGTCTGTGGGAAGAGCTGAAAGACTGAAATTCTATGTAACTTTTGATTACTCTAAAATATTGATGTAGGAATGGAGAAGACTTTACTTGATGCGTCACAATGAAATGGCATCTAAAGTTTCTGAGGTGATTACATTTGTGGTTCAGTGGCCCGCTACGTTGTCTCTAGAGGCCGGTGAGTATCTACACGCGGTCGAAACCATGAGGTCGATGCGGTTAGGTCTCCAAGATGTAGAGTTCTTCCTCTTCAAACCAAACTTGAGCGTGCTGCTTAACCTTATTGGACTCATCTACTGCATACGAAACCTGAAACAGAGGGAGCAAATCTTGGGTGCGATGAGGCGGTGTGGAGTCTCAGAGCAGCTGGTTTGGGTGAAGTGGTTGACGTTAGGTCGATGGTCACGCGGGAGAAGAATGAGAGACGAGATTGTCTCGCGTCAGGTGTCTTTAGCTGATGTTGCAACAGGGAAAGAAGAAATGGTGCTACGAGTGCTTCAACGAGGAGTTGTTCACGAAGTTCTAAGGGTTTGTATCTCAACCGTTGATCTTGCTTGCACACCTTGCACCAGTAGCACCATCAGAAACTACTGAAACCGGTTTTGGATTTGCACTTTGTATAACTATAACCACATTTCACAAAAACTTTTGTTTGTTACAAACTGAATGTAAATTATGATGGAAAACTTTTAAAGTGTACGTAAATAATAAACGAATTTGTCTGATTACATTCCGGTAAGTTTATATAAATCAGTAAATACCTATACAGAATCTGAATGAATCTAATTAGCAACTGAACCGAAAATTGGTCAATTCGGTTTATATATATATGAAAACCGAACAGGCAATTAAAAATTACTTAGGTTCAGGACGCCTAAACCGATCGGTTTTTTCTTAAATTAACATACCCTAATTTTCTATCACACAGCTTCGATACTCTCTGTCTTACCCTTCGTCAAGCATCTCCATTGGCATTTAAGGTAGTTTCTCCATTTTTTGTTTTAGAATTTGGTGTGGTTGACTCGAGTCTGGTGTGCACCAATACGAGTTTGGTTTGGTTTGGTTCGATTGAGTCGAGTCTATCGTGTCTAGTTGCGTTTCTGTAATTCCTTTGGTGGCTTGCTCGTTAATCAAAGCTTGTTTGTGTCGAAATTCCCTGTTAAACCGAACTTAATTGAGAATCAAAAACCCTCTTTAGTACAGATAACCCCAACCCAAGTTTTTGAAATCGGTTTGATTCGGTTTTTATCAGCAGTAAATCAGTAATATACCACTATAAACCGAACCGAAGTTTTGTTCGGTTTTAATCGGCAGAAGTTTTTTCCAAATCGGGTACAAGTCCGAAGCTTGAGGTTCTTCTTCTCTCCTCTTTCTCCATTCCGCCACTGATTTTCAAGGTTTTTCTCCTCAGGAAATTTGCTTTTTCTCTTTCTCTCTATTTTCTTTGCAGTTAGAGAGCGAATTTGTTGATTGTGTTCAGCTCGTCAAATAACCTCTTCTATTTGATTTGGTGGAGTCTTCTCTTAGCAATTCGAAAGCATGTCTCAACATAAACTATGTGCTACAGTGTCGTTGCAACATCACCGGTTTCGAATTTCATGTCTTTTCACTGTTTAAAGATCACTTAAAACCCCAAAATCGAATTTTTGTTATTTTCTTCCATCAACTCTGATAGAAAAGATCATATGAAGTTAGTTCAGTATATACAATGACATTATGCTTACGATCGATCGCATTGAATTCGAAGTTGAAACTAATCCTTTTAATAACTTTCTTTCTCAATTTCGTTTTGGTATGACTGACTGAAATTGTCGTCTAATACATGTTCATGTAGGAACTAGCGGAAATTTTGAGTGGAGAAAGAAAGAGGGAGATTAGTGTGCAATGGCCATTGACAAGGGCAAGCTTCAAGAAGAAGAAGCTTCAGCTGTTACTCGTTTCTATAGCATTATTTTGGGTTGGGACTATAAACAGCTTACAAAGGAGAATAATGTAAGCTCCATCATCTCACAAACTCCTTTTCATTGTTTTTCCTTTTTTTAATGCGTCTAATTGATTTTTATGTGATGCAGAGGAAAAGCAGGAAGGATTCTAAAGGGATCCTGAATGTTGTGAAGAATACTTACAAAGATGCTGATGACTATTTCGAGACTTTTGAACCACTGCTCTTCGAGGAAGTCAAAGCTCAAATCTTGCAGAATCAAGATGGTGAAGAAGGTTAGATCCATATAAAACTTATATATACATGTATCTATCTATGTTTATATCCATTGTTTATGAAAGAAAGTGGCAGCTTTTTGAGTTTTGATGTTGTGTTGTTGGGAATTAAGTTTGTGTAAATTGTAGTAAGATGTGATCTTTTTAAAAGCTCTTGACATATTGTGAAAATGACTGTTCTATCACATTCCTTTTAGCCTCGGTGTGTAAAATGAGATTGGTAATGGAGTGCAGCGAGGCTGATGGGTTTCACTTTCTGCTAGTCACTTATGAGCACGACGAGGACGAATATCTTGGTCCAAATGATCTCTTGTTGCTATCAAAAGAAGAGGTACATATACTATTTTGTACTTTCTTGTATAAAAGTCATTGTGGAATGTTGGGATACAGTTAGAGACTAAACCTTTTTTGCAGTTTAAAGGGAATTCATTTCCTTCATCTTATGGGTTTGCTGTAGTGGAGAATCGTCAGAGTAATCTTCTTCGTCTTCGGATGTATTTAGCTGAAGATGTGGTGCAGATAACCAAAAAAACTAAATCCTCTAGGACAAAGCCATTTATCCAAGCCCTGTCGAATATGCGTTCTCTTATTACATCGTCTGCCAGTGCTGTAGACAAAAGGGTGTTCAGTTTAAAGGTCAGTTGTTTATGACAAAGCATCTATGTTTAGTTATATTATCGTGTTTGTTATTGACCTGTTACATAAAAATGTAGTTCTTCCTTTGTGTACAGCGTTTTTTTATTGTATGGTATGTTTATTGTGCAGTTAAGTGGTTTATCAACCATTATTCGGGAATATATAGCACTACGATCAGTCAGCTCACTCCCGTTCAAGGATTTAATCTTTACTGCTGCTGAAAAGTCTTGTGGTTTTGGAGATGAGGCGTGGAAAATATCTGGTCCTCTGAATGAATTCTTTACCGAAAATCTTAATAAATCCCAAAAGGAGGCAATTGATGTGAGTCTGGCCTTGTAATTACTTTCCTTAGAGACTTTTTACAGTTTCCCTTAACACAGATTTGAGCTCTTTGTCTCAAAACTCTTATTTTGCAGGTTGGTCTATCAAGAAAATCCTTCATCTTAATACAGGTTGACTTCTTCATCTTGTTTCCTTAGTTTTTTTTTTTTCATGTTAAGATCTCATAGTTGTTTACACGTTGAATGTCGAACACACAAACTCTGTCAATTTAAATGACTTCAATTGACATGAAATTGAAATTTTTCAGCATGCTTGCTGAGGAATGTAGTTTTGATAGACGATTATGAGAGACTTCTTTGTCAAATTGCATTTAGAGTGGGCAGGGATATAGCAGACTAGTTTTCAAATTGAACTAGTTACAATTTGATTCGAAAACTAATGACTCGAATTTTCTTTAGGGTCCTCCAGGTACTGGGAAAACTCAGACGATTCTTAGCATTCTTGGTGCCATCATGCATGCTACTCCAGCTAGAGTCCAATCGAAGTATGGTTCTTTTTTTTTACGTGCTATTCTCTTGATGCTCACTTTTTGCAGTTCTGATATGGGCTCCAGATAAAATAACTATGCTTTCTTATGCTTCTCATTCTCCTTGTTTCTTCTCATGATAGTAATGTGGAGCATGAAGTAAAGGGTCGAGTTCAGATGACCATTGAGGAGAGGTATGGTTTCCCTCTCATTGGAGACGTCTATTGAATCGTATGGTGTTTTATTTGAAATCTTGCAACTCAAAGGGAAAACGAATACCTACACATTTCATGAGTAGCTTGGTCTGAAATGATCACTTACAATACATCTCTCTTGGTGCAGTTATCTCAGTATCTCTTTTGTCTGCAGGTACAATCACTGGGGACGAGCTTCTCCTTGGATTCTTGGTGTCAACCCTCGAGATGCTATTATGCCTGAGGATGGTGATGATGGTTTTTTTCCAACCTCAGGAAATGATATGGTAAGTCGGTATATTTATACAGACACACATGGTAATAAACTTACTTATCTTATTCTCTTTTTTTGGTCAGAAACCCGAGGTGGTTAACGCAAGCCGGAAGTTTAGAATACGTGTACTTGTCTGTGCTCCATCAAACTCTGCGCTTGATGAGATTGTGTTGCGGCTTCTGACTACTGGTATGTGTTTTATCCCATACGTTATTTCATTATTTGAAAGTTGGTAATGGTCTTATATGTTACGGTTTCTGCATTTTCAGGTCTTCGTGACGAAAACGCCCAGACGTACACACCCAAAATAGTACGAATTGGTCTCAAGGCGCATCACTCCGTCATGTCAGTGTCACTGGATCACCTTGTATGTATCTAGTAGCTTTTACACTTGATTGCCTTTCGTCCTGTGTTAGTTTTGGTTGCTTGCTTCTAACCTTTTTCTCAAAATATTCAACTGGGAATCTAACTATGATCAGATTATTGAAAGGTTTTGTTGGTTGTGGTATTTTTCTGAGAAACAATCTTTTGCAGGTGGCACAAAAGCGTGGCTCAGCCATTGATAAACCTAAACAAGGAACCACAGGAACTGATATAGATAGTATCCGCACTGCAATTTTGGACGAAGCTGCAATTGTAAGGAGAATTAACCTTCACTCATGTAATTTAAAGCTTCTCTTTGTCTTGTTCTTCCCTGAGTATCCACTTCTGTTTTCTGCGACTACAGGTATTTGCTACCCTAAGCTTCAGTGGCTCAGCACTTCTCGCTAAATCAACCCGTGGTTTCGATGTCGTTATCATAGATGAAGCTGCACAAGCTGTAAGCCCCTTCTGTTAAAATATGGACTATAAATGTCTGATTGTTTCACCTTTATTACTAATGAAATTTCTCTTGTGTACTTCCGCAGGTTGAGCCAGCTACCCTTATCCCCTTGGCGACTAGGTGCAAACAAGTGTTTCTGGTAACACCATAAGCTTTATGAGTTAATTATTATTATGATCAGTCGAAGGAAACTTCAATAGCTTTGGATAACCTTATTACATATCTATATCTATCAGGTAGGGGATCCAAAACAACTCCCAGCTACTGTAATCTCAACTGTTGCTCAGGATTCTGGGTAAAGTGCTTTGAACCACTCATTACGTCAAAACTTTATCTGCTAATATGTCTCTGCGTATGTTGTATTGACACTATTGGATTGCTGTATTTCCTTTCTTTGATGAAGCTACGGTACAAGCATGTTCGAGAGACTTCAAAAGGCTGGCTATCCTGTGAAAATGTTGAAGACTCAATACCGGATGCATCCAGAGGTATGGACATATTCTTATCTTGAATCCACTTGAGATATATATATGTTTCCTTTGAAGAATTGTCATTAGTTCTTTAACTTGTTACTCTTTCTCTTGTGCGAATATTAGATAAGGAGCTTTCCTTCAAAGGAGTTCTATGAAGAGGCACTTGAAGATGGATCTGACATTGAAGCACAGACTACTCGCGACTGGCATAAGTACCGCTGCTTTGGTCCGTTTTGCTTTTTCGACATACATGAAGGGAAAGAGTCTCAACATCCAGGAGCAACTGGTTCTCGGGTGAATCTAGACGAAGTGGAGTTTGTGCTTCTCATCTACCACAGGCTCGTGACCATGTACCCTGAGCTCAAGTCAAGCTCTCAGCTAGCTATTATATCGCCGTATAACTACCAAGTAAAAACTTTCAAAGATCGGTTCAAGGAGATGTTTGGTGCAGAGGCAGAGAAAGTGGTTGATATCAATACTGTCGATGGGTTCCAGGTTCAATATTCTACTCTCTTTCTCAAACTAGAATCTGCTTTATACCATTCTCAAAACTCAGCTTGTAAAGAGGACTTAGAGTTTTTATCCATTTGTCTTTTGTTTTTCTTCTTGATCACGGCTAAAAGGGAAGGGAGAAGGATGTTGCAATATTTTCATGCGTCAGAGCTAATGATAAAGGAGAAATCGGATTTCTCTCCAACTCTCGAAGGATGAATGTTGGTATTACACGAGCTAAATCCTCTGTATTGGTAAGACAAAATAAAGAAACGTCTCATAGACACTATTCTCTGATCATCTTCCTCTGTTCTATCTCACCGATTCATTCTCCAATGAAACTTGCTTATCAGGTTGTTGGTTCAGCTGCAACATTAAAGAGCGATCCGCTATGGAAAAACCTAGTAGAAAGTGCAGAGAAGAGGAACCGATTGTTCAAGGTAAAAAAAGACAAGTTATATTGAAGTCAAGAAAGAAGAGATTTATTTTTTGTTGTTGGTGTTATGTAGGTGTCGAAGCCATTGAACAATTTCTTCAGCGAGGAGAATCTGGAGACAATGAGAGTGACGGGGAAGGAATTGGAGATTCCTGATGCACCAGCCTATGAAGACGAAGCTATTCCGGTGACAACCTTCAATGCAGATGATGATAACGACTTTGGAGATGGTGATGCTGATCAAGACGATGCAGCTTTCGCCGAAGAAGACTAAAAGCTAAAAACGTCGAGCTGATACAGATTTTGCTAGGGACTTACGCATGTTGATTCAACTATATCTTGGTTCTAAGTTTTGTAGTATTTTTTTGGGGTTTAGATAAGTTAAATCTGACGTCTGCTACAAAACTTAAGAACTCATGTTTGTTGGCCATGATGAGGCAACCTTACATGACATATTGACCATAATTAGGCAATATTTAAAAGACATTTAATATTTTTGGTATTATTAATATATTAATGAGAACAAGCAAAGCTGATATCGTTCACCAATCCATGCAGGGAGAAACACAGTTTCAAAAATAAAATATTGAGAAACCAAAGCACCGGATTAACTTGGAATTATGAAAGTGGTATTGGGTGGACGAACAAAGATTTCATAAAGTGTTCGGTTTTGCCTTTGGGATCAGTGTATCCATCACCTTCTGTGTAGAACACATCGAAGAGACGTGCAAAGTTGAAGCATCGAAGAAGAAGTTGGCGAGGTACATGGTCATGTGAGTTGATGAACTCCTCCACAACCACTTTGTAATTTTCTCTATAAATCTTACGTATCCCTTTGCATGCTTCTTCCTTGGTGACTCCATGTTGTTTCATGTAACAGTTTACTCCATTAGCCACCTCGCCTCTGCTCATCTCGGTCTGGTACAATGGATAACAAATAAATGCATACTATTATTCATGGGGTTCAAAAGAAAGACAAAAACACACACATTATAGTCAATTTGAGTTTTGTACCTCGTAGCTGCCTACATCATTTACTAGACGGAACATTATACTCAGAGATTTGATGATTAGGGGTTTTGAATTGAGCCAGTCAAAAGCTTCTTTCTCATTGATATCGTCCATACCAATAAAGGAGTATGCTGCATAGTCACCCATCCCGCCTGATATCAACCCAACCTCCATGTACTCATCAAATGTCGATACGTGACCCGAGCGTGCCCACTTTGTTACATCTAGGTACGCTTTCACAAGGACCTGGAGCTGTGTTTGGACACGAAGCAGTAAGAGATCACCAAAGATGATAAATATAATAATCAGAGTTGGCCCTAACTTTAACGAGATCGCAAGCTAAAGAGAGGGAAAAAAAGAGACCGCTTTACAAAACATTTTATAGAAAAATGAACTATTTTGGCTCATAAATTTTCCAAGTTCCATGGGTTGGTTTGGTCCCTTCTTTAGTTAGATTTACCTTCTCTACCGCTTGTTTCACGCCATATGATCTTCCTTTAGGTTTCACTTCTTGTTCAATTACTCTTATGGCTTCAAACAAACTTTCAAGAACGACTCGCAAATAGTTTGGTAGTTTATCACTGGCACCAATTTCCCACCTATACATTCAAGTTTTTTTTTTTTGCCACGCTTGAAAAAATATTCTAAACAGAGATAGTGTATGGATAGACACATTATATATAGTACCTCAACAAACATTCCGTAAAAAGTGTAGCTTCGGGAAAAGTAGCATATGCATCATATGTGTCATCCACAACAACGACGAGCTGTATAAATTTAGAGACTATAAGTCTTCCAAGTGAATAGTGTGGCTCGAAGTATGGTCCCAAAGACCCGAGATGGCACTCCACCATTCTATCCCTTACGTAAGGTAGCTTAGATGCTACACCTAAGTCCTTCCACCATCTGTATTAACCATAAAAACAAAATTAAAGTTGATATGGAGACTGATGTTATCTACAATGTTCAAGATGAATATGTCACTTGGTGAGGGTTTTGAGCTCTTGGATGTAATGAAGCTGGCAAAAGTTGAAGCTAAGCTTTGAAAACTTGAGCAGGACCATGTCGTGACCTTCTTCTTGTTCGTAGTAAGATATATATTCTCTTGCCATTAGTATTTCTATGTTATTGTATCGAGGTATGTATAATGTCTTTTGTATATGCTTCAAGAGATGGGGAGCAACATTGGTTGCGTTACCATGTGCCAAAGACTTCAAATGATTCTGCGTGAAACTCAGTGCTTCGTCCATTACATCTTCAGAGGGTGTCCCAAGATGCGCAACTTCGAACAACTGTAGCATCCCTCTAACATCGCTGGCTACACTATCCAAGAACCTCCCATCTTCACATCTGAATATATCAAAGACATCTACAAAGAAACCGTATAGCCAAATTATACATATATATGTCAGGTTACGTACATGTGTGTGAATCAAGGAATCTAATATTCTTCTTACCACAAGATATCTTGTGACCGTATAGCCTAAAGACCTCGAACATGATGGCGATAGTCTCTAAATCAACTTCGCCAACAATTAGGTCATCCAACTTTGTGAAACTTTGGTTAAGTATCTCTTGAATCTCCTTATCGAAATGATAAGAGATCCCGAGGCTGATAAGCAAATGGATGAGACGAATCTTGTCCTTGTCGCTGCTTTGAGAAGACATGAGCATATCTTTAACGATCGGCTTATTAATCTCAATCTCCTTTTCTAGTTCATCAAATTCCTAAAATCATACAAAATGGTGGTCAATAATCATTTTTTTTTCTAGCAAGAAGACGTGTGAATGAAGGGATCATGCACTTACAGAGCGGGCGAGGGGAACAGTGAGGAAGTGATCTCCCCAAATTGACGGAGAAAAAAGTTCGTCAACGGTCGACTACTCTCAAGATCATCACTACTCTTCGTTGACCTTACAATGAACAAGTTGGGTTTTGTGGGTTTGAGAGAAAGACTGTGGTTGTGTAGTAAACGGCGAGGAAAGAGAGAGAGGTTGTTCTTAAGGCAGAGAGGGGTTTTGTGAAGCTGAGAGAAAGCTCCGAGTCCAAAACTCATTCTTGTTGCTTCCATTTTTAGTAATCCGGCCCTCAAGAAAGATAGACATAGCTACTCTGTTTTCTGATACAAGAGAGCTTACGTGGTCAACGGCCAGTTAATCCCTATTTTTTATTACATTAAACGGAAATTTCTGTGTTTTTCTGACACCAAGCGAATAAATCTGTCTCTATTAATGACAGACAATCACGTTCTAATCCCTTCATTTTTTTGTCAGTATTTGTGTATTTGGTTTAATACAACATTGGTGTTTATAAAAGTTAGATCGTTTTCTTGTAATATTTATACGTAAATGGTTTTATGGTAAATACTAAATATTCAATCCAAAAACGAATGATGTTTTGTGGGGAGATCTTGAAGTTATCGATTGTAAATGTTAAAATTGGAGAAATGGTTCAGACAGGAAGCTTGTTAACGAAAACGGATCATTTTACTTTTACTCTATCCGATCCGATGACTATGAGAGGTTCAAAAGTCATAAAATACTAATACTATAATTATTATGTGATTTTTTCTCGTGTTTTTATAATCCTATTTTTTGAAACATCATTTATTATAATTTTATTATAACTCAAACACATATAACTCAAACACATATAACTGTGGAGTTCTTTTAGGATTAGATCATTTTCATTGAAGGTTTTAAATTGAAATTTTAAAGAATAAAAAAGTTAAAAAGAAAAAAAGACGTCTGAAAAATCGTTTTCTATTTTAAAATTTTTAGAAATTGTCTCTAACTATTTGACATGTTATTATTAGTTTACTTTTTAAAAATAAAATAAAATAAAATTAAATAATATTGTTATATTTAAATTATTATTAAATTAAATATAAGAATTCTATTTTATAGTCCAACAGTTTGGAAGATCTCTTGAGAAAAGGTTTTAGCACTGGTGTATCCTATATGTACGCTAGTTTATTCGAAGTATCCCAATGGTGTAAGACCTTCGACTTATTGGGAAAAAGGAGGAAAATCACTCATCGTTGGAATACTCTTTAGTGACCAAAACAATAAATGCACTTGTAACAATATAAATAATCAAATCAATTCTTTTAAATCTCTATATATATGAAATCGGGAGATTACTTACTTTCAGACAAGAAGGTGTACGGTATTTTTCCATAATGCGGCTGCTGCTCTCAAATGTTTATGTTGTTGCCTTTAGCATTATGTGTAAATGAACAGTTGAAAAAACGTGCATAGAAACTTAAAAAGGAGAAAAATCTCAGACGCGTAGATTCTGGATGGAAAATTTTTTGGGGGAAAAAAAAAAGTTGCGGTCAAGATATAATCAATTATATATATCTTAGCTGTCGCGATCATTGCCTTATCATATACACTTTCTAACTTTCAAGGCAACGATCTTCGTTTATTCAAGACAGCTTGCCTTAATTATTGTATTTTTTCTTTGTGAATTTCCTTTATCCCAATTTTTAAATACAATACTAATAATTGCCTTACGTATCTTTTTTAGATGCCACCTTTTTCATGCAAAAAAAAGCTATAAAAGTTCTCATCAATTATCGAAGGCTCGCTTATCTTATTTAAACTACAATCGGTTAACCCATAATTTGGTATGTGTAACAAAAATATAATCATGATAGCATTACTTGATAGTTGATACCAAGACGTTTGAAGGATGGAATCTGTTCAACTGAAGTTTAACTTATAGTGTTTTCTAAATAATTTGTACTATCATAAATATAGTATCATTTAATTATACTATATGATAGTAAAAATATATTGAATCATGAAAATTTCCTTACTTTTATAAATAATATATCAACAATCTAGTCTGACCAAGTTAATGGCGTTCCATGAATTTATCTGCTTTAGTACTGGTCGATTGGATTGTTTTAGATTATAACCACTTTGTATTCATTGTAGAAATACTAAGTTCTGGTGTTTTGCTAGTCTAGACCATAAACCGATTTTTATTTAGTTCATATATAGCTTAATTTGGTCGTTAAATTGGCGAAATCATCAAATGTATACTCTAATGTTATCCAGGAAAAGAGTAAAGCCAAAAAAGTGCTTGATGGAATTGTCTTGTAAAGCCTTCGTCATTATCCTAATACGGTCATAACACTAGAATATGCCTATTCATTGTTCACACACAGTTTGAGGAAAACGAGAGATTGCTTCTTAAGTTATAGTTTCATTATAATTAAGTAGCTTCATTTTTACATCAAGCGCGAAGCGTAATTAGCCGTCTAAATTATCGACACGCAGAAGAGGCTCTGGCATCAATCTTGATATTGTTTTTTTTTATTTCTTACATTATTAATTTCTCTATCAATTATTACACTGATGAACGCATTACGTACCTCGGAAGTTAAAAGGCCAAATTAGTTTATTTCTTTCTTTTAATTAATACTAACTAGATGTTGGATCTGCGCGTCCGTGCATGTATATGATTCTTGAAGTAAATTTATAAATGTTTAAATCTTGTAGTATAAAGACATTTATATAATATGTTATAAGATACACTGTTTTCTGGTATATATGTATCATAGCTTTATTTCGAGAGAATGGATAGTCTGTTTGTATAAAATATTTTTGGATCATAGCAAAAATAGGTTTATAGTAAACTTTTGTTCAAAAAAATTAGCTTATATAATTAAATCTAAAATTGTGGTCCAAATGATTTTTTTTATTAGATTATATAAACTATTTTAACATTATGGTTTTATGTTCTTAAAATTATTCAGGCTTGATTTTATAAAAAAAAAATATTTTGATTAGCGGATTTTTTGTTAAGTTTTGTAACAAATATTTTAAAATATTATGTTATAATGTAAGAGAGATTTTATTTGTTTGTAATTAAGATTCTTAAGTTTGTTTGTTTTTGTCTCTAGATACTTATTTTGATGCAAATGCTCTCAAATATTGTTCTTTTAAATATTTTTAAATCAGCATATAGATATTTTATCTGAATACAAATTCTATAATATTTCAAAATTTAGATATTTAAAATGCTAAAAAAATAAAGATTTGATGCAGCATTTGAATCTCAAAAATTAACAGATAAAAACATCTTTTAATTTAAACCACAAAATCAAGTTTTTTTTTTGTCAAAACCATTTTTTTCTATCGAAATAAAAAACTACAAAATCGTAAAATCACATTGTTGTACCAAAACCGAAAATTCTGGTAGAAACTGTAAAAATAGCATTTTTCATCAAACCGTATTTTTCTGTCAAAACTGTAAACCCACATTTTTTAACAAAACCAAAAATTATGTTTTCCTCCAACACTATAAAATCGTATTCTATAGCTAAATTGATTGAGTAGTTTTTGTCAAACCCGCAAAATTATATTTTATCATCAAACCCGCAAATTTGCATTTTCAATAAAATTCATAATACCACATTTTTCCATCAAAACCTATAAAATCCGCAAAAACATGTAAACCTCGTAAAATCCGTAAAATCAGGTTTCCCGTCAAATCCACAAAAACCCGTGTTTTTTCGTAATATTGTAAAATTCATAAAATTATGTTTTACGTCCAAATTTCTTAACTCATGTCAAACTCACAAACCCGCATTTTTCTGTATGACTACATTTTCTCGCTAAAACCTATAAAATCCATAAAATTCGCAAAATTGCATTATTCGCATTTCGCAAACCCGTGTTTTCCCGTAAATCCCGTAAAATCTGTAAAATCGTTATTTACGACCAAATTTCAAAAATTACCAAAATCTAGATTTTGGATCCGCGCACTTGCGCGGGAGTCCTCACATAAATACTTCAAATAGCTTGTCATTCTCTAGTTTGTAATGCCTAATGAAACAATATTGAAAAGAAGATGCAGTTTTGAACATAAATTTATAATTCTTCTATGTATCCATATTCTTCTTCATCCCTTCTTCTCCTTATTATCCTTCGTCTTTAAAATTAATTTAACATATAAAAAATTAATTTCGACTAAAAAATATTGATTTTTGCAATTTGTTTTTGAAAATCTAAATAGGGAAAAAATTAGCCAAACAAATTAGAGAAAATGAGATAATGTGACTTACTGTTTTTATTTCCCTTATAGTTTATTGAAACACTATTATCATAAATAGTTTTATTTTGCTAATTGTAAATTATAAAATCTTTTATTAATTTACTGACTTTTCCTATTATTAATATGTTATTACATCTACAATAAAAAATTTATCAATATTGTTTGTAATATTTTTGAAAATATGCTAAAATCCATATTTTTAGAATATGCTTTAAGTTTATGCAGTTACTGTTTCTTAATTAAAATATTTTATTTTTTATTTGGGAAGCTTGCTCCATAATTTTAGTAATCAAATATTAATAAAATATTATAAAATTAATTCATTAGATATTTTATAGAACTAAATAAAATTTAAATAAAATTATATGGTTATTATCATTTACTGTTAATTAATCATGGTTTTTTTAAATGTGATCATGATGCTTTTAAATTTGAAATTAATTTAATCAATTCATAAAATATTATAAAATCAATTCATTAGATATTTAATAGAACAAAATATAATTTAAATAAAATTATATGGTTATTATCATTTACTGTTAATTAATCATGGTTTTTTTAAATTTGATCATGATGTTATTAAATTTGAAATTAATTTAATTAAAATTTAATTTAATATTAGACTGAACTAAACATATAACAAATAATATATAATTATTCATAAAAATTAGGTTTTAGTTTATTTTGCTATAAACATATGTGTGTGGTTATATTATTGCATAATAATAAGAATTTTATTTTTGTTTTTCAAATAATTTTTTGCGATTTTTTTTATATTGTGTAAATGTATATAATTTAATTATATTAATTATAATTTTTATTTTCTTATATTGTAACATAATAATAGATATTTGAAAAAATATTATTTGTTATTTTTTCGTAAAATGTTTTAAATTGTATATAGTAATTATAATTATAATTTTGTTTTATATAAACTTAGATGTAATTAATTCTGATATTAATTAAAATTTTCGAAATAACTATTTATGGAAATATTTAAATTATTTAAATATGTTTGGTAATTAGAGTTAAACTAATCCAAATAATATTTGAAAATTAATGTGTTTGGTAATAGAAATATAAGAACTGAATAAAGAAAAAATAAAATGAATATTAATTGGTTGTATTAACAAATGACTAAACTAACATTAATGAAATTATAAGGAAAATGTTAAAATACAATGGTATTTCATGTAATATAACACAAAAACCAGTGTTTTTCCGTAATATTGTAAAATTCATAAAATTGTGTTTTACGTTCAAATTTCTAAAATCTTGTCAAACTCACAAACCCGTATTTTCCTGTATGACTACATTTTCTCGCTAAAACCTGTAAAATTCATAAAATTCGCAAAATTGCGTTATTCGCATTTTGTAAACCCGTGTTTTCTCGTAAATCCCGTAAAATCTACAAAATCGTTATTTACGACCAAATTTCAAAAATTACCAAAATCTAGATTTTGGATCCGCGCACTTGCGCGGGAGTCCTCACATAAATACTTCAAATAGCTTGCCATTCTCTAGTTTGTAATGCCTAATGAAACAATGTTGAAAAGAAGATGCAGTTTTGAACACGAGTTTATAATTCTTCTATGTATCCATATTCTTCTTCATCCATTCTTCTTCTTATTATCCTTCGTCTTTAAAATTAATTTAACATATAAAAAATTAATTTTGACTAAAAAATATTGATTTTGCAAAGATATTTTTGTTTTTGAAAATCTAAATAGGGAAAAAAATTAGCCAAACAAATTAGAGAAAATGAGATAATGTGAGTTACTGTTTTTATTTTCCTTATAGTTTATTGAAACACTATTATCATAAATAGTTTTATTTTGCTAATTGTAAATTATAAAATCTTTTATTAATTTACTGACTTTTTCTATTATTAATATGTTATTACATCTACAATAAAAAAATTATCAATGTTGTTTGTAATATTTTTGAAAATATGCTAAAATCCATATTTTTAGAATATGCTTTAAGTTTATACAGTTACTGTTTCATAATTAAAAATTGTTTTGATTTTTATTTGGGAAGCTTGCTCCATAATTTTAGTAATCGAATATTAATAAAATATTATAAAATCAATTCATTAGATATTTTATAGAACTAAATATAATTTAAATAAAATATATGGTAATTATCATTTACTGTTAATTAATCATGGTTTTTTAAATTTGATCATGATGCTTTTAAATTTGAAATTAATTTAATCAATTCATAAAATATTATTAAATCAATTCATTAGATATTTTATAGAACAAAATATAATTTAAATAAAATTATATGATTATTATCATTTACTGTTAATTAATCATGGTTTTTTTAAATTTGATCATGATGCTTTTAAATTTGAAATTAATTTTATAAAAATTTAATTTAATATTAGATTGAACTAAACATATAAAAAATAATATATAATTATTCATAACAATTATGTTTTAGTTTATTTTCCTATAAACATATGTGTGTGGTTATATTATTGCATAATAATAAGAATTTTATTCTTGTTTTTCAAATAATTTTTTGTGATTTTTCTTTTATATTGTGTAAATATATATAATTTAATTATATTAATTATAATTTTTATTTTCTTATATTGTTACATAATAATAAATATTTGAAAGATATTATTTGTTATTTTTTCGCAAAATGTTTTAAATTGTATAAATGTTTATAATTTAATCTTATACATATATAGTAATTATAATTATAATTTTGTTTTATATAAACTTGGATGTTATTAATTCTAAGATTAATTAGAATTTTCGAAATAACTATTTATGGAAATATTTAAATTATTTAAATATGTTTGGTAATTAGAGTTAAACTAATCCAAATAATATTTGAAAATTAATGTGTTTGGTAATAGTAATATAAGAATTAAATAAAGAAAAAATAAAATGAATATTAATTGGTTGTATTAACAAATGACTAAACTACCATTAATAAAATTTTAAAAAAAATGTTAAAATACAATGGTATTTCATGTAATATAACACATGAAATATGTTTAATCATTGAAATGATCCTCTCTTAATAGTATGGATTATGTAAAATGTAAAGTATTATAATATATATGGGTGACAGGGGTGAGAGTGATTATAATTATAAAGCTACCACATATATATATATATATATATATATCCATTCAATATATCTATGCAAACGCAATAGAAAGAGCCCTGTATATATACATAATACGAAAATTATATATCCATAACTTATGCAAATTAGCGTTGTAAATTTTTTTTTTGTAAAATGGTTCTCTTTATGAAATCGCGTATAAATTATAATATATCTCATAATAAAAGACGGAAATAATAATTTAAAAAAATGTCAACTCGGTCTATCCTATTCGTAACAAGTTACGACTGTCCTTTTTTTTTGGTCTAATGTAGACACAACATGCAATTACAAATTTACATACATAAAATTTAGCGTAGTTTCACATTAACAAACACCATAAGACCACCAATAAAGATGAGAACGCCAGAAGATGATATAATTATGGATATATATGAACGTATATAAATTGACTCTTTAAGATATTCAAATATATCTGCCGTGTCCGAAACACCAACCATCTCAATCCCACGACCTTATATTATAATACAATTCAACATCATTATAAAAATAACAATTCAATTATGTTTTCTTCTTCGAAACACACACATAGACACAGTATAAAACCCTCTTTCAACGTACCATAAAAATATCACCACCTCCCCCCCCCCATAACACAAAAACTCATCAGCCACCTTCTCAAACAAATTCAAGATTTGGCCATCGATGGGTTCCGATCAAACCAAATCGACCTTGGACACGGAGAAATCAACCGTGCCAGGAAGCTCCACCACGACGAAGAGTTGTTGGCTAACTCAAGTTGTTCTAAGATTATTTTTATTTGCAGCTACTTTGACATCAATTGTGGTAATGGTTACAAGTAACCAGAGCAAGACAATTCCTGGAACTCCCATTCGTATGCCTGATGCCAAGTTCACCCACTCGCCGGCTTTTATGTAAGTTCATCCGAATTTAATTTCATTGATTAATCCACTGTATATATCCTATTATTTCGTCAAAATTGGTTGAATATCTTATAAAAGTAAGAGGCGTGGTCCACATGTGATTTGTATATCTCATAGTCAAATAAAGTGCAAAGTATATATCGCTTTTTAATTTGGAATTATGTAGAACTAGTAATGTTGTAACTTGAGGCCAAAAACTAATATGGAATAGAGGGGTTTTTTAAGCATGGGTCTTAATTAGTAAACTATTTTTTAGTCCCAGCTAGAAAAAAGTCAGTTCAAATTTGGATGGCGTGATAAAATGATAACACTAGTAGAATCAAAAGCTGGTCAAATCATATATGTTCATTTTTTTCCCTATATATATACACAAGATATATAGTTATAAGAAACTAAAAGGATCCATCATATATGTTTAACAAATAATTATCTATATGCAAATGGCCGATATTATATGGAGTGATCATATATAATTGCGTGTGAGAGTAGTTGGGATTTCGAAACAAAGATTTTGGAAAGTCAAATATAAGTTGGCCTAAAGTTAATTAACGAAAAAGGACTCAATCTATTTAATTTCCAATTATAATGATAGAAGCATCTTCATATTATAATATTTTAGTGATGTTGTATACTTTATATAGTGTTTAATAACATAATCTCTCTTTTCTTTTGTTAATATGCAGATACTTTGTGGTAGCATTATCGGTGGCTTGCTTTTACAGCATTCTATCTACACTTGCCACCGTATCTGCTTTTAAGAAGCCTTCTTCTTGCTCTGCGATTCTCTTGCTAAATCTTGCCATCATGGATGTGGTAATTCCACCTTTATTTAACCATAATTACTAATCTCTCTTAAATCGCGTGGCTTGCTATTACAAAAGCCAAACAATTAGTTAAACCCCCCCAAACAAAAATTTAACTTGGACTATTTGCGCGCGGGTTACGTTTTTCTACATAAATGTATATTTGACAAGTTAAAAACAAAATTCAAAGTATAAATTGAAGTAAACACCAAATTGAACATCTCTATTAGTTTCACTATAGTATAAGAGAAGTAGAGAACAAACTTACTGAATGTCAATGTCATATAACGTTTCTTTACTAATATAGAACGATAACGTTTTGGCAGGTGATGGTAGGGATAGTGGCGTCAGCAACCGGAGCAGGAGGTGGAGTAGCGTACATTGGTCTCAAGGGCAACAAAAACGTGAGATGGAGCAAAATCTGTCATGTTTACGACACATTTTGCCGTCATGTCGGAGGCGCAATCGCTGTCTCATTGGTCGCGTCGATCATCCTCCTCCTCCTCTCCATCATATCAGTCCTCTCCCTTTACAGGAGAATCCGTTGATTCACTCTCTTTTTCTTTGAATCTTTCCTTTGTCAATTCATATATAGTGATCTCATTCTTGTTTTTGCTTTGTTGGTCTGTCGTAGTTGAACTTTGTGTTTTTAACTTTGTAGTATTAATTTGTTTTGTTTTCTTTGATTTTGTATACTTGTAAGCCGATGTTTTTAGTTAATCTATGTATGTTGTTTGTAGTGATGATTTCCTTCATAGTTAAATGTTTTTTCGTTTAATTTCTTGGATCCCGTTTGCTACCAAGTTTTAGGCAATTGTGGTTCAATACAATGTTTATTGTATATCTTTAAATTTTCCTTTAAATTTGAAGTTAGACAAAGAAAATGATTTGTTGACATTGACTTTTTGCATCAGCCATGCAAAAATTTCAATAATGTAAAGAACATTGCATATTATTGTGAGACGACTCTGAATGTTTGTTGAAAATATTATAGTTTGAGACTTTCCAATTCAAATATTATCAACTTACGTATGAATGTTTAAGTACTCTTATAAGGTTTTAGAATCAAAAGCTTTGACCAGCTTAGAGGAAAAAACATATGACTTGACCAACTTTTGATTCTAATAGTGTTAATTTAGTTTGATAATTTAAATTATTAACTCTCATAAGGTTTTAGATAGTTCTAACTTGATAATTTGATTACATAAAATCTTCGATACGAAATGGTTTTAGAACTATCTAAATCCATATAATACGAATGACATATGTTAGAAATGAGATCCGTACTATCTCTAACAAGCCCGATACGAATTCTGGTTGGCTCGTCTAACAAGTTCTTGGTCTGTAACATAAAAGGAATCTTCTATTTATCGATCGACCCGGGGAAAAAGGAAACTCCTTGCCGACAAGAGTTTCCTATTTCAAACAGATTGAAAACCCACCTGATCGGCTATAAATGTAAGAAGTCCTCGATTTTTCAACCGATCCGAAAATCACCCCTCGAGACCTAAGACAGATTAAGCAATCTAATTATTTTTAGCTCTTGATTTACTTTCCTTAAAAGTCTAGGTCGGCGTTCTTATTCCGACGACCTAAAACTATCTTGTATCTCTCAAGCCCCGGCTCAATTCTAATAAAGATCTCTCTTTAAACCCACAAACTCTTGTTCAGTTTTTAGATCGAATTTGAGTTTTTACAGTTGGCGCCGTGTGAAGGGAATAAAAGAGTAATCTTTGACTTAGAACGGAGTTTGAAGATGGTTCAAACACCAATCAACACTACCGACCTCACAGGAGCCCCCGATCCGACAAAAAACATTCAGGATCCGATCATCGACCTAGCCACAGGGCTTCCGGTGGCCCACCAGACCGATCAGGAAGACAGCACAACTACCACACAGAACACTGGGGGAACAGACCAGGTCGGTCAGTCGGGTGGCACAAACACGACCAGCCTGCCACAGCCACCTCCCATCGACATGACCACGATCATCAGGTCGGTTGCAGCACAGTTGCAACAGGGGATGGATTCTCGCTTCGAGTCCCTCCGTGCCGAGCAGATAGCTTACAGAGAAGACTTGGATCGGCTTATAAACTCTAGGGTTCATACCCAAGAGCAGGCCGATCTTATCATTCCCCCTCGCCCTTCGATCCGCAACACAGATACGACCAGGCTGGTCAACAACGGAGAGCACAGGCAGACGACTCGCATGCCCGCTCATCTCGTAATATCGCAGGAACCGACCCGACGACAACCTCGGAACTCGATCTGCTCCACCAACGCCTTGATGATATCCACAGCAAGATCCACAAGGCGACGACTTCAGCGCCCGAGTTGGATAAGATCTTTCAGGAGACACAGCAAACCCCGTTCACGTCGGCTATCACCAATGCTCCTCTTAAGGACATAGGTCGGATGAAGCTACCTCCGAGTTACTCCGGCACGACAGACCCGAAGCGACACCTGACCGCGTTCAACGCAGTCATGGGACGTGCTCGCTTCACCGATGAGGAACGGGAAGCATGCCTCTGTCAATACTTTGTGGAGACGCTCTCCGGGAGCGCCCTCACTTGGTTTTCACAGCTTCCCAAGAACTCCATCGACAGCTTCAAGGAGCTCACAGCTTGGTTCCTGAAGCATTATTCGATTTACATCGACACGGAGTCCACAGCGCTCGATCTATGGGCATGCGTCCAGGGCGACACAGAACCGCTGCGCGATTTTATCGATCGATTCCGATTAATCGTCTCCTACGAGGCAACAAGCGATCTACAGACAAGTGTCTTCATATCCCGATCTACGATGCCCTCTGATCGGGATTCATATCCCGATCTACAGACAAGTGTCTTCCCTTCTATCAACTCCTACGAGGCAACAAGCGATTCAAATGGGACGAAAAGTGTGAAGACGCATTCGTACAGCTTAAACCTACCTTTCGACACCACCGATACTGGTCAAACCTGAGTACGGCGACACTCTGCTACTCTACGTTACGGTCTCCAGCGCGGCAATCAGCGGAGTCCTGGTTCGAGAGGACCGTGGAGAGCAGAAGCCGATCTTCTACTTCAGCAAAACCTTGGATGGTGCTGAAGCTCGCTACCCGACCTTAGAAAAACTCGCTCTTGCTGTGGTCTTCGCTTCAAGGAAACTACGACCTTATTTTCAATCTCATTCCATTGCCGTCATGACCAGCCAACCTCTTCGTTCGATCCTGCACAGCCCGATGCAATCCGGCCGCATGGCGAAGTGGGCAATCGAGCTTTCCGAGTTTGATATCGAGAATCGAACGCGGACTTCCGCGAAATCACAAGTTCTGGTGGATTTTTTGATCGAGCTATCACCGGAGCTCTTAAGCGCCGACCCGGCAAATTCAGAAATATGGACGCTACACATCGACGGAGCATCGTCACACTTCAGAGCTGGTATCGGCATTCTGTTGGAATCCCCCACCGGAGAGCTTCTCGAGCAGTGCTTCTGTCTGGAGTTTAATGCATCTAACAACGAAGCCGAATACGAAGCGCTGATCGGCGGTCTCTGATTGGCCCGAGGGATGAACATCCAACACATCCGGGCATTTAGCGATTCGTAACTCGTCACTAAGCAGTTCAGCGGAGAGTATGACGCAAAGGACGATCGAATGGATGCCTACCTGAAGCTGGTAAAGCAGTTAGCAGCGGAGTTCACAACCTTTGAACTACATCAGATTGACCGATCTGCCAACACCAGTGCGGATGCTCTAGCTGCTATTGCATCAAACAGAGATTCAGCCCTTCGGAGAACAATTCCCGTTCAAGGAATATCCCAGCCCAGCATAGTCCCGGCCCAGGAAGTTCTTCAAATCACAGCCGACGAAGACGAAACCGTTCCTATAGCAACCACTGACGACCAGCCAGCAGCAGATTGGCGAGTCGAGATACGACGCTTCCTGGAAACTGGCGAGCTACCACCAGAGAAATGGGCAGCTCGGCGAATTCGTGCTCGAAGCACCAAATACGCAATCATCGAGGGTGTCTTATGCCGATGGACTGAATCAGGCATCCTTCTTACTTGCCTCCATGGCGACAAAGTTCAACGATGCATCAAGGACGTTCTTGATGGTGCAGGTGGAAATCATTCCAGCGGGCGAGCTCTGGCCTTGAAGATTAAGCGACAAGGCTTTTTCTGGCCAACCATGCAGGAGGACTGCATTCAATATGTTCAGAAATGCGAGTATTGTCAGTGACACGCTCCGATGATTCATCAACCTACGGAGTTTCTGACGTCGGCAGTCCCTCCTTAGCCATTCATGCGATGGGCAATGGACATAGTTGGACCGATGATCTCCTCTCGTCAACGCAAGTACGTGCTCATCATGACCGACTACTTCACCAAATGGGTCGAAGCCAAGGCGTTTGCCGACATTACAGCCACCGAAGTACAAAGCTTCATCTGGAGATACATCATTTGCCGACATGGCCTTCCTTAAGAGATCGTTACTGATAACGGCCCCCAGTTCAGGTCGAAGAAAATTCAAGCTTTCTGCGACAAGTGGAAGATTCGCCTCAACAAGTCGACACCACGTCATCCGCAAGGCAACGGACAAGCCGAAGCAAACAACAAGACAATCCTGGACGGCATTAAGAAGCGTCTCAATGCCAAGAAAGGTTTTTGGGCGGATGAACTGGACGGCGTGCTTTGGTCTCATCGCACAACTCTGAGAACTGCAACCGAGAAAACTCCTTTTTCACTCGCGTACGGATGCGAAGCTATGGTTCCTGCGGAGATCAACGTCGGAAGCTTACGAAGAAGAGTACTTCTGAGTATTCCCGAAGTAAACGTAACAATGTTGGTTGATAATATTGACACATTCGAAGAAACACGCAATCAAGCGTTGCTCCGAATACAGAACTACCAGAATCAGGCAGCTCGGTACTACAACAAAAAAGTACATAATCGACATTTCGACAAAGGCGACCTGGTCCTTCGAAAAGTCTACGAGAACACCAAAGAAGAGAATGCTGAGAAACTCGGTGCAAACTGGGAAGGTCCATACATCATCACTAACGTAGTGAAACCAGGAGTTTACCGGCTCGAAGCCTTGGACGGCGAGTTGATTCCACGAGCCTGGAACTCACTCAACCTCAAAAGATACTACAGTTAGATAGGCACCTTCTCGAGGTCGGCATCGTCAAAAAAAAGGGAGGGAATAGTCCCTATGAACTACGAAGCGGTTTGATCCCCGAAAAGGGTACGTAGGCAACCTATCCTCGGATGGTGCAACTGCTCCCCCTCCCAAACCGGGGGGGGGGGGGGGACTCAATATTTCTTTTAATCATCAAGTCGTCTTCGGTTTGTAAGTCTTTGGTTCAATAAAATCTCATTTTCTAAAAATATTGTGTTCATTATCATATCGGCATCCTGGCCAGATGCTCGATCCGCCTAAAGCTAGAGTCTGATCCACTTTAGCTCGGCAACTTAAAACCAAGTCCGCCTTGCATTCTACAATTTTACCTGTTTTCCTATATCCAAGCCATGCGTTGTTGTCAGCCAAGTCAGTCTTGCATCCGCATTCGACTCGGATACTTCTAAGTGGTACCGATGAATCGACGCCGACCTGAATCGCACATCGGGTATTCACACTTAGAAGCGAAGTGGTACGAACAATCATAAGCCGGCCTCCCGCATGTTCGTATTCACACTTCAAAGCTAGAGCCAGAATCCGTTCTGCAATTCTTAAGTCATGCGAAATTAGTAAACCGACCGAGTCGCAGTTCGTATTCGACTTAAGACTTTTCTCAAAGTATGAAATAAACGCCGACCTCAATCGTTTTTATTTTTTACTTAGAAATTTAATCGC